GCAAAAGTAGCAGTTGATTAGCTGGTTAATTTTTTCGTGGAGTGAAACATCCACCCCCCATCCCCCCTACCCACCCCTCTTATAATACATAAAACCTCTGCGGCTCAAGTTCTTATCTTTTTTCAGATGTGGCCACTTGGTGCCACAGAGGCGTCTGCTCAACAGTTGCAACGTTCTGGGTTTGATTTACCAATGACTGCAGAATTCCATATCGTCTGAAAGCATAACCAGTTCAAATCAGAGCATGAGTCGGCGATGCCGACAAGAGTAGAAAAAAGAGAAAAAAAACTCATTATTCTCTGACGATCTTTTTGCGAATTTCACTGACTTATTTGGAGGAAAGTTGTTTAAGCGGTCAACATTAATATTACTTAACATATTAGTTATAAAAAACAAACAAACGTGAAAAAGCGGCCATTTTGCTTAACAGTAGTACTAGTAGTTGACAGTAGTAATAGTATAGTATTGCTAGCAGTATCTTTTTTTTTTTTTTTTACTAAGAAAGAGTTTAGAAAAGTTTTTTATTTATTTAGATTCTAGTTAGGCGAAGCTAAATAAATAAAAAACGTTTTTCTAAACTCTTTCTTAGTAAAATAAAAAAGATACTGCTAGTAATACTATACTATTACTACTGTCAACTACTAGTACTACTGTTAACCAAAATGGCCGCTTTTTCACGCGGATGCAAATCAAGAATAACCCTAATCACTGAGTAGTTTAATAAACAAAACCTTAAGGGCAAGTTTTTCACCTTACTAAAGTGCTGGAGGAAGAGGATTCGTTCAATAAAAAATCTCCACTAAATAAAATCAGTACGATTCAGTCATGGTGACTGAATAAAAAGGCCAAAAAAAATGAATAATGGCCACACAAACTATGATGAAAATCTTGTTCAACTACCCACCCGCGCTTCCATGCATTTTATTCAACTGGCTCTATCAAAAGTTTTTCCTCCCGAGTCAAGCCCCTATTGAGTCACTGTTGCCATTGATTACAGTGGTGTTTCGAAAGCACTTCAATCAGTTTTCTTAGGCGAAGTAATAGGTACACTTTCACAAAAGAATAGTGAATAGTTAATAGGAAATTATTATTAACAAGACATCAGTTTTCGAAGAGCCCTATACTGTGAGCCAGTCTCATGTTGCTCGGAATTCTTAGAACGGGAATGATATGCAAGTGCGCGGGCGAACAGAGAGAATTTCGACCAGAAGAGAGAATGCTTTCGCCGACCAGGGGTCTTACGGGGATGTTAATAGAATACCGAAATTACTTTCATTCCGGCATGAGTTTCGTTCCGGAATGAAGTACGAATTATATTCACGGCTTAGCTTAAGGCGTTATCCCTCACTTGGTTTTCTCGCCAGATCAGGTACTCATGCGCTATTCACCCCAGAATACACGATGTTCGATTTTCAATCCAGAACAAAGTTCGTTTTCAGTTTACATAATACTGAAATGAAATATATTGGCATTAGAACGAGCATTACATTCCGATTGAAAACCTGAATGAACTCATTCCGGAGGAAATGAACGGAAATGAAATGTCGTTTTGGTATCATGTAAAAAAAATATATAGAGAAATGTATAAAGAATGAAGTAAACTCAAAATTGAAAGTCATCCCGGTGTTGCATTAATAGCCCCTAAACGTACCTTTGTCTAATTCCACCAAAGACCATCTTCCAGCCAGCTGTGTTTAGAAAAGTTGTTCTTGTAACTCCACCTCTCGCACCAACTTTATTAGCTGCACTACTGCGCGCCATTTCCGGCAATGGAGCCTGAGGATTAGAAGGTGGTTTTTCTCCGGCTTGCAGTAGGTCGTCCCAAGTTTCTATTTTGTCAAAAGTGTCCAGCACCCTGCAATAAAAACATTACAGCTGAATTATATTACCCGGTCAATCAGTCACGTTATATATCAGTCGATTTTATCAGCACTATTAAACTCAAGACTTTTTCAAAACCTTTTATAATCTTCGAAAATTTAAGGTGGCTCTGTGACCTCGAGACATAATTGTTTTATTAATGTTTGCTTAAAAAGGTACAGTAGACTCTCGCTAAGAAGAACACTTTCGGGCCCCGGCACTAACTGTCCATCTTAGAGAGGTGTCCGGAGATTCGAGGTAACGTGGCTTTACCAGGAAAGCGGTACCTATTAGCAATGAACACACGACCTCGTCTGTTTAACTTGTTCCAAACAGATTATAACTAGAACATTGTAACAGGAAAGTGAAACTATTTTCTTATTGTGCAATCATCATCAAACGTTCATGACAAGTATACGTTCACGGCTTCTTGGTCTAAACGCGTAACAGTATACCCTTAAACATTTTGCAATTTAGTGTCATGTAGAGCACCTACTTTCCTAGTTGGAGGTGGTTTCCCACTACATAAAGCACATCTCAGTTGTCCGTTAATGGTTTGAAAAGCTTTTGGGGGGTCCGGGGGCATGTACCAATGGGAACTTTTTTTCGATTTTAACTTCCCAAAGTTTCCTTTCTTGGG